TTGCAGTTAAAATTGCAGAAAAATGTTTTTTACCTTCAAATATGGCCTCAGCCTTTACGCATGACTGTGAGGACAAGCTCTTCTGTGGTGCTTGGAATTCTAGATAACTGATTTAAACACCAATATTGCTAAATTGAGGCTCAAGAAGGTTTAATTGTTAAAATAACTTATTGTTTTATTTTAACATATAAATAAATTGTAACCCTAACCTGTTTTTTCAAGTGTAAACGCTAGGGACACAAAAATGGACGTTTCCATAGAATGACTCATAAAATGTCTGTGAGAAAGATTACACACACACACTGTAAATACTGGAATCAGGCATGAAAGATGCACTAAAGTCCTGTAAGAAACAGGAAGAGCCATCTGAAAAAGAACATCCAACATCCAACAAGCCTGGCTGGGCATCAGTTGTCAAACTCAAGCATTTCAGGAGGACGTCTACTTGTTTCAGTGAATTACCAGGATCATTTGGAGTTTCGGTTAGGAAAGCTGTCTGTTTTTGCTGTTTGTTATGACTTTTCTGCTGGATACAGATGAATAAATGTCAACATTAACTTGGAAAGTAATAAATAGACAAGAGTTGTATTCCGGAAGCATCCCGATACTGCTTTTGAGCGCTGTATATGGTTGATTACACAGACATGGGAAGAGTTGGAGGTGTTGAAATAAAATTAAAAATAAATTAAATTGTTCAAAATGTGAGATATTATAACATTAGATTCCTTTTTTGTGTTTAAAAAGAACAACATTTTCCCTCGTTGCACTTCAAACTTCTTTTGTTTTAGCCACAAGCCGCCAACTTCACTTTAGTCTTCGCCTCATTACAATACGAGTGGACAACCTCGACCTGGATGCTTTCCACGGCCTGGAGGGCTGAAGGCTCTCGATTTGGGCCTGACATCAGCCTCACGTATCCTCCATCCGTTGTTTTGTTGTTTGTCTTCTCACCTGCTCGTCAGGACACACATCTCCACTAACATGATTGTATAGAGATATGAAAATGCTTTCTGTTTACATTTGTGGTACATGCAGTCAAGACCTGTTTCACCTCGCCGAGCGTGTCTACACCTGGTCAAGTAAAATCCAAACGTGATCCCATAATCAAAAAATTCATGTTAATATAAGGTGTAAACAGGCTGTGGGGATGCTGCAGCCCCCTCATCACCCCCTCATCACCCCCATCTCCCATGTCCCTGATTTATTACCATGCAGAAGTACCTGCCATTGGCTTCCATTATTGAGTCAACATTTTTGTGCAAATTATCTACCTGGGACAGTCTGTGGTAATCGAGCATATGATACAGATGAGGTTAAGATGAAAAACACTGGAGTATTCCTTAAACCCTTGTGTGGTGTTGATGTGTTTGTTACTCAGTGGTGGACATTATTGGTCTTTTAAATCAATACAGCCACAATTTATGTAAAAATACCAGATGTTTAAAATATCACAGTGTCCAGCGCAGGGTTCTCCTGTAGCAGCTGTAGCCAGTCAGCAACCTGTCCATGTTGTCCACCCTCACACACACTAACAGCAGGCCACATGGAAGAGAACAGAGGAAGGACACAGCACCTCCACACTTTTACTCCCCCCCGCGGGTTCACCCAACACCACATGTGTAATATAAATGTGGGGGGTGAACAGAGTGAAGACACTGAAAATGGGTTATTTTATATGTTCTTCACAGAAAATGAGCAAAGACGAAGAATCTGAGGTTGAAATAATCATAAAACACATCATTTTTTATTTTGGTAAACACTGAAATGGGTTAAATGACAAAGATACATATATTCTAAATAGATTATGTTTCTGTGTCTCTTCACGATTGTATGAGAAATTAAAAAATATGCTATTGAATCAGTGACTAACACATCTTGTTCCCAGCATTCAGTCATTTCACATCCCTCAGTTTATGAGTCACTGGGTTTGCACAGGAACACATGCAATAAAAGGTTATTATAGTTTTGAATAAATGAGGTTTAGAGGGTCTACAAAGTGCACATTTTCATTATTTTAAGGTAAGATACTCTGTATCAACAAATCTTGGCTCCTAAAGCGTCTCTTTGTGGTGCCCCCTGTCAAGCATTTGGAGTATAACAGGCTACTTTACACAGGTTCCTCCAGTTTACGATGCATTTGATTTTATGGTTCTCAGCTGGGTCTATGATGTGTCTATGAAGTCATGCCTGCTTTCGGTCTGCCTCGCCTTTGATACAGCTTTGACTGTCTACATCCTCCCTGCTAATCATGAAAATAACTTAATGAAAGCTTTTTGTTTTGCTGGTGAGTTTGTGTTGGGACCCCAAACTATCGTTAATAATTCTACACAACATTTGTGCTCCATTGTGGATAAAATGTTTGAAGCCTTTTTGCTCAGATATTACAAATAATACTAGCAGATATCAGGATCTGCTTGTAGATTATTGTAGTTCAATGCCCCGAACCCTAAACCTGCACTGCAAATTAAAATAAATGCTTTCAACAATAGAAAAGCAATTTGTGTGGTGTTCTAATGTTAGTCCTGGGCAACTTAACAGGCTTCAAGTAATTATTAGCACACTAAGAACCTGTAAGTACGAATGGCTCAAGCTTGGAACTCAAAATTAAAGTAACCACTACCAGAAGTGAATTCCACGTCCTTCACCGATTTGAGTGAATTTTCTGCCTGGCAAACTGTACTTATGTTCGGTGAGAAGGAGCTGATATAAATGTAGCTTACATACTTTGGAGGTGGAATATTTAGTAACGTTGGTTTCGATATACAGTAACTGAGATTAAAGAAATGAAAGCAAAAAGCTAAAAGGTGTATTCAGTTTTATTAGATTCAAGTCTGTAACAGTCAATCTGTATTTTTACTACAAATACCACAAAAACGACCCAAAATTAATCTCCCAAAAGAAAAAATATTACTAAAAAATGCTGAAAAACTACGGAGCTCTGCTAGTGACATCTTGTATAAATAAAAATAATGCCATGGCCATGACTTAGTAAGGCGTGGGAACGAGATCCTAATGCGTGGCCACGACTTAGTAAGCCGTGATCTCGTTCCCATGCCTTACTAAGTCGTGGCCACGCTTTAGGATTTCATTCCCACGCGTTAATAAGGCGTGGCCACGCATTATGTTTATTTACACAGGATGTCACCAGCGGGGCTCCGTAAAGAACCCTACATTATTCTACTATATTTACTACAGTAGCTACAGTTATACCATAGTAAAGGGAATAAAGGTGATCTATAGTGTCTATAGCACACTTTGGTATTGTCTTTAGTATATAATATGGTAAAGAAGTACTAAAGTGTTTACTATAGTGTACTGCAGTGCATTCTAAAGTAATACACTATGGTCTATGGTATAATAAAGCAATAAGCCACGAGAGGCCGTACTCCGCTTCGCATCATGCCTAAAAACACCCTTCCTGTGATTAAATCGCAGTAACGCACAGCCTCAAGCGGGCTTATTGCTTTTATAAAATGGCGAACAACATAAAATATGATAAAATGCACACTTTTTTCAGAAAATGATTTATTATTAATAATATAGTAAGTATTCTGCCAAGAAACGTAGTTCCCTTTCAGAGTATGGTATCATTGTCCAGTGAAAACCATGTATCTCCATTTTTTGTTGATTTTTAGTTTTCTACATCATTTCAACAGCTGTCCTTTACATTGTGTAAAGATTTCATGATGAATGGACCAATAGAAATGCTCTAAAATCACTTGGAACAAAATCTCTTTACATTGACTTAAATTGAAAGGTAAGAGTGTTTTTGCCGTTTACTGTAAAGTTACTATTTTGGAGATACTTGTTTTTCATTGGACAGCGAGTATGGTATCGTTGCCAAGCAACCATGGACTGCTAAATGAGGAGAACGGTTCGTCGCCTATCGCTGTATATTGCTGTATATATCATGATTTTTTTAACGTTTTGTCGTATAACAATGGACATATGATAACACAGCACTGTTAAATGCAAAACCTTTCACTGTATAAGTACTTTTTAGTCACCAAATCACCACCGCTAGTCTTATTTAGCGCCAATCCAACGGCTCCTCTTCTCACGCTGGGGCTGAATCTCAAACAGCTCCCTGCTCCCTACATAGTGCACTAACATGGGGATTTAAATACTGGATTCTGCATCCCAACAGTGAATAATATAGCTAAAAAGTAGTCATTTTGGGCTCAGACACATGAATATTCGATAATGGATGCACTATTTGATTGTAGAGGCTAGAATGTCTAAATTTTTATAGCTAGCTTGCTCACTATCTAGGGAGTACGGAGCCGTTTGGGATGCAGCCTGGGTTTGACGCTAATGCGATTTCTGACTGAAACACGGACATTTAAAGACATTCAAGTGACATTTTTAGACGTTCATCCTGCCGTTTACAGTACTTTAATTCAAGCCTGTGATACTAATGATGGAGTCGTTTAGGCTGTCGGCTCTTTTAGCCTGTTAGCTAGCTGACTAGCCTAATTCTAGTTAAGAACATAAGTTTTCAGCCCCTCAGTTTAAACAAAAAACGGGTCATTACTTCATCAATGTACTCGACGGTCCGCGCGAGCGGCATAAGAGTTAAAGATTAATCCGTTAACAGCAGGATGATTTTTCGTGCTGTGGCGCAGTGATACAGAGTCGCTGTGATGCGGTCATAGCCGTGGTTTTATCGTGGATTTTACAACGGCTTCGATCGCGGCTCAGACAGATTTCAGGACCGGAATTGTAAACTATCCGTTTTATATTAAAACATGGTATTCTAAAGTAATAATACAGTGTCAATGGTTTATTAAAGAATGGACTGTAGTATTTTATAGTAAAGTTAAGTGGACTATAGTCCTCTAAAGCGGTGTTATACGCACAGTGCGGTTGTGTCAGGCTGTGAGCTGCCACATTTCACTAAATCCAGTGTGGGCGCTGAACGCTAAACGAAGAATTGAACGCGCTCGGCTCCTTTTTCCTCTTCGCTCGTGTGTGTGTGTGTGTGTGTGTGTGTGTGTGTCTCCGTCGTGCTCGCTGCATGCTCTCAGCAGGCGAGCCAGCCAGTGTGAGCTGCGCGGCGCCTCGGACGAGTCGTCCACACTCGGGTAGAGGAGGAAGAGGAAGAGAGCGCCGCTTTGCGCGGAGCGGATTTGTCCGTGTTTTCGAGCACATTTCGGAAAAGGAGGGGGGGCGCGATGTGTCCAGAGCCGAGCCGTGTCAGTTTGCGCCCCTGACCCCGGGCAGCCAGCCCGTCTTTATGGAGGCGAAAGAGAAAGAGCGAAGCGAAGTAGCAGCCAGCCCACTTGCCCCCCTCGCTCCCTCCCTCTGGAGCCCGATGTCTGAGCGATGGTAACGCATGACCGAGGCGGGAGGGACCATGGCTGAGCGGGCCAGCAAATTCCTGCTGATCGTGGTGGGCTCCGTGTTCTTCATGCTGATCCTCTACCAGTACGTGGCACCCGGCGTGATCGGCTTCGGCTCCCCGCACGGCTACCTGGGCGAGGAGGACATGACCATGTTCCCCACCCCGGACCCGCACTACGTGAAGAAGTACTACTTCCCCGTCAGGGACCTGGAGCGAGCCGTGGACTTCGAGATCAAGGGCGAGGACGTGATCGTGTTCCTCCACATCCAGAAGACCGGCGGCACCACCTTCGGCCGCCACCTGGTGCAGAACGTGCGGCTGGAGGTGCCCTGCGACTGCCGCCCGGGCCAGAAGAAGTGCACTTGCTACCGGCCCAACCGAAAGGAGACGTGGCTCTTCTCGCGCTTCTCCACGGGCTGGAGCTGCGGCTTGCACGCGGACTGGACCGAGCTCACCAACTGCGTGCCGGGAGTCCTCAACAAGAAGGAGAGCAAGAGCAAGAAGCTGAGGTAGGGCTCCTGCTTCTGCTGCTCACTGTTCTTATTGTTCTTATTGTTCGTCTGTGCGGGTTTGGAGCTCCTTTAAAGGGGAACCCCACCAAAATTTCTGGATTGAGATGTAAACAAGGGTCATTCAGAGTTGGTTTGGTGTGATAATGGTTCATGGCTCAGGAACCAGGGGTCAAATATAGCCCTTTATTTACTATCCAAAACCACCAGTAAACCTACACGTGCCTTCTGAGCCTTTGTTGGTTATGGCTAAAATCTGAAAATTACAAGTTTTCTTTGGGGGCTATTTTGCCTCCCCTCCACCATGAATGGATAAAAATAGATTTTAAGCTAAAGGATGATCACAAAACTATCATAAAGCAATGTGTCAGACAACAGGCAGCACATATCTATATATACTGGTGGACGTCTGGTTCCTATCACCACCACTGTGAACTGTTCTGACTGTCAGTTTCTCTAGAACGGAGCATTTCACACCAAAACACTCTCAATGGCTTTGTTTACATCCTAACAGCGTAATTATGTAGAACAGGGCGGTCCGATCTTATCCGCAAAGGGCCGGCGTGGCTGCAGGTTTTCACTCCAAACAAGCTGGAGCTCACCTGATTCTACCAGTTTAATCAGTTGGTCTTAGTCTTCGAACATTTCATCAGGTGACCTCCTGCTTTGCTGGAGCCACACCGGCCCTTTTGCGGATGAGATTGGACACCCCTGATGTAGAATTTTTAAAAAGTTGGTGGAGTTGCCCTTCAAAGCAACAGTCAGGGGTTGTTAAAGCACAATGTCCCGAGCCAAGGATTGTACAGAACGAGAAAGTGGCTGGCATGTCTAGATCTTGACCTCAGCGAGAAAATGAAATCATTCTCCACCTCCGAAAAAAAACAACAACAAAAGTGGCTTATTTTGAGATGAAGACGTTTCCTGTTTATGCTCCATTAAACAGGACAGCCAGAGCTAGGCTTCAGCACCGTACATGGACGTTTCCTACTGATTTTCGTACCAATGCGAGACTCGAGCTGCTTTGTTGTTGTGCCCTGGGCCATTAATTATGCCTCAGTTCTGAAACACCTACCATTTACATCTACCTAATGTCAACCGCACTCCTCTCGCCCAGTGTCCCTGCTGACCGAGCATCTATCAGCCTCGGAAAAGAAGGGATATTTAAATCAGTGAGACTAAAATGACGAAACAGTCGAAGAGACGTGACATGTTGAGATCAGCTTGTTTCTGTTTTCGGGAAAGTCCGCGCTGTCAGCGCTCTCAGGAACACTTAGCCGGTTTCACTGTAAGAGCTGAACCACAACTCTGTTTTTTTAAGGCTCAAACTGACACTCAGGCTGCTGCCACAAACAGGACACAGCACCGTCACTGTGTATCCATTACAGTCCTGGAAAACAGTCGTTAGTTAAATGCCAATTTTCTCAACGACAGCATGCTGCTCGGTGGCTGTAAGCTGATGTTTATTGTCAACCAGGCCAGGCTGTTTGGTAAAAGGGGAATTCCACTGATTTTTTCAGAATTTCTGCATAATTCAGGGGTTTGAGATGGAAACAAAGTCATTCAGAGTGGTTTAATGTGAACTTACTGACACAGATTTCTGTGCATTGGTGGTGATGGGAACCAGAGTTCTCAGTATTTACAGCACAAATATAGCTTTAATTTTCCCCAAACAGCCAGCGAACCTACATGTGTCTTCTGAGTTTTTATATCTAATGTTGATGATGGTAAAATAGTGATAAGTACTATTTTGCCGTATAACACCTTGCATATACTACTTTCGGCATGAATAGATTAAAAACGTACATTTTAGACCATAATCTGCTCAAAACTATCATTAAACAGTGTCTCAGACATCAGGCAGAGAATTCATAACCACTTCATGTAATAACTTTCAGTGAGAGAGCTTTTAGAGGTGGACGTCTGGTTCCTATCGCCACCACTGTGAACAATTCTGTTTCTCAAGCACTGAGCATTTCACACCAAACCACTCTGAATGACTTTGTTTACATTGCAGTGATGTTCTTATGCAGACATTTTAAAAAATTGGTGGAAGTCATCTTTAAGCTCTTCCCTTTAACGTAAACCTCAAATGTGATCAGATATAAGCTCAGTGTTTCCTCTGGCTTCAGTTCAACGACGAAACACCTGAACAACGTTTTTTTTCTCCTCCAAAACGACGCAGTAAGTGCGATCGCAGCTTTCTCCACTTTGTTGTCAGCTCAACGTGTAACACGTTTCTGCTGTTTTGCCGCGTCTGCTTTATGTTTCCTTATTTATTAGTCTTATTTCCTTAGTTATTAGTCTGCTTTAGGCAGTGTTCGTCAAACTATGTTGGCTGGAAGGACAAAACGATAACAGAGGGTGCTCAGTTGTTTGAGGGGAGCATGGCATTTAAATGGAATATGGATTTTTTTTACAAAATTTCTGCATATATCTACTGTGGTGATGTAAATAAAGTCATTCGGACTGATTTTACATGAAACGTTTAATGGTACAGAATCTTACCAGCTCTGATTCCTTTACAGTTCAAGTGATGATGACAGGAACCAGGAGTCAGGATGTCTACAATGCAGATATAGCCATTTTATCTAGGTCCAAACTGGACCTACACATGCCTTCTGAGTTATAATATTGATAATGGTTGCGATATCTGGGTTTTTTTTTGGGTACTATAACTGTAACCCTCCAACATGAATATGTTTTAGGTCAAAATAAAAAGCAGTATCTCAGGCAGGAGGCAGCATATTGATAACCATTTCATCTAACAGTGTTCTGTGAGGTCGCTTTTAGAGGCATCAGACGTCTGGTTCCCATCACCACTGTTGTGACCAATTCTGACTTTCGTGAAGTTTCTAGCTCAGTCATTTTGGAAAATGGCAGTTAATTCCCAGCATATTCATAAACATTTCATCTAACGGTGTTGTGTGAGGTCGCTTTTAGAGGCATCAGACGTCTGGTTCCTATCGCCACTGTTGGGACCAATTCTGACTTTCTCTAGATGTGAAGGTTCTCTATATGGGAGCATTTCACGCTTACGTCTCAGTCATTTTGGGAAATCGCAGTTAATTCCTTGGGAACTTCACAAAACAGTAGCGAGAGTCTATAGAAAGAAACCAATCATCATTCCTTAACACCACGGAGTGTTTGCAGTCCACTGTTCATGTATGTGATGCACACTGTGACTCATGTTTCAGACAGCTGTAGCGATGGTTCAGGCAAATGAGGCATGCACTAACACATCCAGGCTTTTTTTCCCTTCCCCTCCTACTCCTTTGCCGTGTTCCTCTGTTGGAACGTGGCCCTTCCGTGGTGAACGTTGTACCGCAGAACCCCTGCTGTGAGCTCCGTAGCAGAGGGAACAGAGAAAACTGAGCTGCCGTTTAGGGCTGAATAGAGTGGGCAGAGATTCAGGGCCGGTCGGCTGCAGGGCCGGGCTGATGGAAATTGGGCATTTCATGGATGGTTATGTCCAATCGGGGGTGGGTTGGGGAGGGGGTATAAAAACCAGCTCAAGTGGCCTAATGCCTTACACTGTCGGCTGAGCACATCAATTAGGTCTTGAAGCATGGACCTAATCTGGGCTGCTCTGCCAGAAGAGCCTGCAGTTATTGCCAGTGTGCATCATGAGCTCGCGCTTCCAGCGACAGCCAAGCATCAAGGAAAGCTTCAACCACGAGGGCAGGCAATGCGGCCTATGCATGCCCTCTGATGGAAGTGTTTATATCATGTTTTGAAGCTACTAAAGGTTAATTATTACACTGTCTATAGTGCACAAGGCCTAGAACCAAGATCTATATGTGCCCAATCCTAGAAAAGACAATGTGCTGTTGCTGTGAAGTAGAGGTGGGCTGTAAGATGTTATCGTTATCAATGTAAGCTATGCCAGAATATGCTTTACTGAGTATATCGCGAGGGGTCAACACTGAACATCTGCATGTACCATAAAAAGACAAGTCTGTGAACAAAAGCCAGTGTATATTAACTGTATAAACTGCGTAACACGTTAGTCAGCCCTTTTATGCCATTAGCTTTCTTAAAGGGGGCCAGTTTTCCCCTTTCCTTTAGTGTTATATATCTAAACGGTCTGGAAAGCTACAAAGCTCTGAATACAGATGCCTGAAATGAGTTCTAGCCCAACTCCGGCAGAACCAACTCCGCTGGAGAAATAGCCACAGCGGAATTTACAGCTGCTCAGGAAAGAAGGGTCTGTCTGCAGACTGCAAGACAGGGGCAGAACATGTAGGGGCGGAACCGCTCTGGTACTTGACCAATCAGAGCATGCTGGGCTCATCGGGAGACAGGGCTTAATGACACAGGAGCTCTAATTTCAGACAGAGGGTGAATAGAGATCTATAGTATGAGAAAAATAATGTGTTTTTGGAAGATTGAAGCTATAAATCTATTCCAGTAGACCCAAAAATAAAATAATGAACATTGAAAGTGAGCATAGTAGGACCCCTTTAAATAGCTTTTTTGCAAATGTTGGATAAAAAAAAAAAAGCATTATACTCTATAATTTTTCAAAGCCTTTTATAAATGATAGACCTCGCCCCCTTCACTCTGGTGGGACGCTCCCAGATGTATAGTTCTGATTACCGACAGTGGTATCCTTAAAAAATAGCCAATAAGAGACCCTCAGAAAAAGAAGTGAGGGGTTTGTAAAAATCATGGTTTAAAATTTCTATTCACTGTTTAAAATGTCTTTAATTTTTCATTTTTCATTGTTGAAATTGTTTAATTGATTTAGCTAGATTGATCATGATCAATCCTTCGATTTTTCCTCCTGTTTTCTTTAAAGTCATGGGCAGTCGTGGGCTGGATGTTAGGGAACCAGCTCTTTGACCGGAAGGTTGTCGGTTTGATCCCCTAAGCTGACAGTAAATGACTGAGGTGCCTTTGAGCAGGGCACCTAACCCCCTACTGCCCCCTGGGTGCCATGGATAGGGCTACCCACCGCTCTGAGCAAGTGTGCTCACTGCCCCCTAGTGTGTGTGTCCACT